TCAATGGTGCAGCTGTGCCAAAGGAGAAAAGCTTCAGTAGTAAGAAGAATATCCCGAAGGTCATATTCTGTTACTGTAATATTGACCTTCCTGTTCCCTCCTGACATTCTGTCCAAATCACATCCTGTTGTTATCGTCCAGCCATTTAGGTATCTGTCTTCTCTTTCATCCAATACATCCTTTCTGTGATGGCCTCTGTGGCAAGCTATCAACAAAGCCGCAAACCTAACAACCAAATCGCTTGCTTGTTCACTGTTAAAATAACGGTGCGAGCATAATGCAATAAGGAAGTGAAAGGAAATTGTCATCATGTCCACAGATTTACAGATTACAGGCAGCAGTGTACTGCAGATGTTTAGTGGAACGCACCACTTTCTATCTGCTATAAATGTGAACAAACATGAAAGACCACATGTTCAAACATCCATATGTACAGTAGTAGGTAGTGAAACTGCAAGAAATTCAGAGACTCCAACAACTTCAGAGTTCTCAAACTTGAGCTGAAACATCAAAAAGTAAAATAAATAAATAAATGAGATAAAATGAAGTAATCATAATACCCATAATGGGAAACAAAATAGGTGAACAGCATTGCTTTAAAAGTCTAGGTGGCATTTAGTGAAAGGTCCTCTTAACACTTGAGTGTCTTACACATGAGACATTGGATATTTATGAATTGATTCAGCAGTGTCAGTCAGTCCTGCACTTTGCCAGGGGCGCTAATCCATGTGATGGAATTCATATGTCTACTTCATATTAAGTTTCCCATGTTGCTTATTGACCTTTTCATCTAGCATTTTCCCTCACTGATGTGAGCTGGCCCCTTCACGGAAGCTGTCTAGAGCCATTATTTTGCTGCTTTCGATTCTGCTCCGGGTAAGAAACACTTGGACACTTACACACTTGAAAGGAGGGTTTTCATGTGTGGAGAACCGACAGTCTAAGGTACTGGATGCAGTAATAAGTACAGTCAGGTCCATAAGTATTTACACAATGATGCAGTCTTTGTAATTTTGTCTCTGGACGCCACCGCGGTGGATTTTAAATCAAACAATCAAGCTCTGATTGAAGTGCAGACTGTTACCTTTAATTGCAGGGGTTTTGCAAAATGTGAATGGATTACAGTTATTTTCATGCATATTCCCATTTTCAGGGGCTCAAAAGTAATTGTACATTTGACTGACAGCAGTTTCACAGCCAGTTGAGGCCTGTTCCCTCATTATTTCATGACAAACTAAGCAGATAAAAGACTCCAGTTGGTGAACTTGCATTTTGGGAGCTGTTCATTGGAATGAGGTCCAAAGAGATGTTGAAGCAAATTAAGGAGGCCATCACAAGGCTACACCCCCAAAATAAACAAACAAATACATCTTAAAAAGAAGGAATGCATTCACAAGTTCTGCAAGCCTGAGAGGCTTTTAAGACCAGGGAAAACAATAAAAGCAGAAGATCACAGAAATCTTTCTTTGGTTAAGGAAAGAGCATATTCAAGGAGGTAGGTATATCATTCTCCAATCAGAATACTTCACCATGAATGCTGATAAAGAGGGTTTACCAACTGGTTATACTCAAGATTAGGAAGGCCATATTAGACTTTGCCAGAAAGGATCAATAAGTGGCTGCACAGTTCTAGAAAAACATTTGGAAATAATCAACTTGATATAATTTGTGCCAGAATGATTGGGACTGATAAGAAGGAGAGATTCTGCTCATGATGTGAACCATACCACATTACCGTCAAACATGGTGGAGGCAGCGTTATGGTATAGGCATGTATGGCTGCCAGAGAAACCGGCTCACTAATGTTTATTGATAACAAAAGTAACAGGTTGACTCCTAAAGTGTACAAAAGTGGAATAGCACTTAAATGGATAATGAGCCAAAGCATACTGCAAAACCAACCCAAAAATTTCTCAAGGCAAAGACATGGAATATTCTTCAGTGACCCAGGCAACCAACTAATCTCAACCCAATAGAGCATGCTTTTCAGTTACTGAAGACAAAAACGAAGGCAGCGAGACACACAAGCAGGCAGCAACTGGAGAAAAAGCAGATTTTGGTGATACCCGTGGATTCTAGACGTCAGGCAGTCATTCGATTTTTATCCAAGTGGTAAAAACAAACGTTCATATTTAAAATGATGTTAGTTTGTCCAATTATTTTTCAGCCTCTGAAAGTGGGACAAAATAAATTAAAATGTAAATGCAATACTTCTGTTAAACCCCTTGAATTAAAACTGAAAGTCTGCACTTCATTTAAAAGTTGAGTTTTAACAATTGGCAAGTTTTAATTTTTCTCATCTGCCACACTTTTAACATTAACTGAGGGTGAAAAACGGTCACAACAGACGGCAGAGAGACGGGAATCTTTCCGGACATTTGCATGCTATGGTCAAAGAATCGTGAGCAGTTCCAAAAGTATTCAAATGAAGTAATGTTTAAATCATGTTTAGTAGTAATTTGGTGGCAATGAAGCTATTAAGGCTAATGATTTATAGGTGCATTGATGCTTCCGAATAACAGAAAAGAAATGTATAACAATCAGTGTAAATAGCTAACGATGATATACACGTACAGAATGGGGCCATTGCCACTCCTTCTTTTCTCCTGAGTTACACTTTCCTACTGCATTTCTAACGTTTCCAAATTGTTAGTAAATAAACATTTTCTTTTTCTCAGCTGTAACTGAGTTTAATGCATGCCGGGCAGAAACAGCCCGTAGCGCTGGTTTTCGCTAGGTTATATAATGGAAATAAGGAAAGTTAGAAAAAGGTCATCTGGTTTTAAAAAAATAAATAAATCCACAATTACTGTTATTTAAGGCGTAAAGGTGTTGCACTTTGTAAACCTGCCATCCAACACAACCTTCTCTGGCTGACTCCAGTAAAGCTGAAGCTGGGAAAGCACAAGAAAGGAAAGCAGTTTAACTGTATAGGAACATCATTTTTAGGTGACAGGGTTGTGTTGTGAGGCATACATTTATATTACCAGTGTCCCTCACGTCTCTTTTATGAAACCACACACACAGTTACAGCCATACACATAACGCACATATTTTCAATTTGCAGTACCTTCCTGACCACAAATGAAAGGAGGATCCTTGTCCTTTAACAATAGAATATGATGAATACTTTCTTGTCTTCATGTTGAAAAGATCTTCTCTCCATTTGCCCTTTTAGCCAGCTCAATACAGAACAGCACTTGATTAAATCCCATCAGCACAGTTATTTGGATCAAGGACCTTGATTAAAATGCTGAAATATGAGTTTGCTATCTTGTGTTAGGCTTAAATCACAAACTCATTTTAGTGACTGCGGTCAATATATATAACTAAACGAGCAAACAATCAAACAAATAGAAACACCATGTTCCTGTTCTTATTACTGAAGCTATAAATAGAATTTATGATTCTGTCCTCTCTTTGACATCAGTTTGTTTTTTTACTCATGCATGCTGTGAAATACAGTGTACACAATGTACTAACAGACACTGAGAGGTGTCTTTTACCTCAGTTACAGTCACATTGCGCACTTGTGGCTTCTACTTATCGCGTATTACATCACGTCATTACTGTTTCGCACTTTACTGCAGTTTCAATAACAACTTGTGTGAGTTCGGAGAAATTCTGATTAGAAACGATTGGCACATATAATATAGGTAGGAAGGTACAATTTAGGTTGAAAGGAAACTCTTATCACTGGGCCAAATGAGACAACCATGCGATGCGTGTACAGCCACTGCAGTCCTACAAGCTGTGTGTGAGCGCCTCGACTATCTTTTTAATTAATATCTGCCTCGAGGCAACTAGTTAGATGAAAAACATAGAAAAAGCTTTGGTGCATACCAATGGTCTGTAAATCCAGGCTGGAGTAAAACACTCTCTCTGTGGCCAAAATAAAAAGAGTTTGTTTGAGTCCAATTCAAAAAAGTTTTTTTTGTTCTTTTTGTTATTGAAATGTTGCACACATCGATATTACTGATACAATTCATTTTAGCGTATTTAGAATAAAAAACGCAAGTATGTGGGGAAAAAAAATCGTGATATTTTATCACATCAGCATTGAGAAATGATCCACTTTCAGGTTGTAGGACATCTCCGTGTGAATGCTTAGAAGGACCGCAGTCTGGAAAATTACTGACTCGAATCCTTAGACAGCAGTACGCTGATGGATCCGTGGAGTCGCAAACACAAAGAGCCATATGTACTTCTGCAATTAAACAGTAATGATGGAATAGTTTCCTTAGATAAATGTAATGGTGTATCATTAGCTCCCATGGTCTGTCATTTTGTATTGGGAAACACTGAAATAAGACATTAAAAACCCATTTCAAAGCAATAATACTTTAAGCACCAGTCAGCAGTTCAAAAGAAAGAAAAAAGTTTGTCTACACTAAACACTAAAAAGAAGGTCAAACCTGCCACTCGGAGCATCTCTAACGTAACACACAAACAAATTAGGAATTAAGCAAACCAGATTTGGGAGCAATGTGGTATATCTAACCAGACCAGCATTAAAAAGGCATCAAATTGGCCGCTGAATGAAAATCTAGCTGAAGGGTAGAATACAAAATCTTATTTGAGAAGCAGTAGTAGACATAATTTCAACCGCCAATTTGTTTGCCTCTAAGCAATTCAAGAAAAAAAAAAGAAAAAGAGGCATGAGCAGTAATCTTTATGTGGTGAAAATGTGAACTAATGTAATGAATCGAGGATCATTTGCCCACAGCAAGTTTCTACGTGTGTGTACTTTGGTAGGATTTGCTCTGCGCATGTGAATTTAACATTGAAGAACACAATTGGAAATATTTCTGAAGTCTTTTATCTGTTCCAAACTAATCTGGCACTCGCTGAGTAAACAATGCATTTCTATTTGACAAGAAAAAGATTGGCTCCGTGGACGCATGTGCGAGGTTATCGCTCGGGAGACGAAGGGGAAATCAAAACAAAGCTGCGACTAACCAATCCTCAACCGGCTCATAAAAGGACAAGAGCAAACGTTATTAGTAATTGCTTTTTTTATTTGAACTTTTCATCTTTTTTTTTCTTTTTTTTTTCAGATAGATCACAATGAACACAGCCTTTAGACAATAGCAGTTGAAATAATCCATACAAATGAATGTCTCTGGTCTTTTCACCAGCTGCCCATTGTAGCGTGGAGTCCTATGCTATCAGTGCGGGCCTGGAGGGTGAGGGGACAACACTGACAAACATTGGGTGCTTGCTGTAACTACCAAAAAAAAAAAGGCATGTTGTCTGTGTGTGTGAAGCAGTGGCTGTCTGAGTCCATGTGCACCTGCGTCGGTGTGAGTCAGAGACCAGAGGTGGTTAGCCACATTCAACAAGGCCCTGTCCTAATCACTTGATAAAACCAACAGTCTCAAGTGGGCAAAAATAACCCACTCTAGAGTTCAGTAATGCACTGCTAACAGTGTATGATGCCAACAGTGTGTAATTAGACAACAATGAAAGGCCTTACATTGTGCTCCACCTCCCACTATGTGTTGACCTCAGCAGCAGCCTCTGCTTTATTAAACAGCAAAAAGCCTGAGAGAGGGGCCATGGCTTTAAAGAATACCTTCTGTCCACTGAACCCAGCTCATTTCCCCATTTGCCCTCACGTTTGGGAGCGTACAGACAGTGGCTGGGCCTGTGGAACGCCATTAGAGGGGACAGCACTTTCAGCAGCAGGGCTCAAGAATCCTGGGATGACCTCTGACCTTTGTTGTTCAGTGAATGTCAAAGTAAAAAAAAAAAGAAAAAGAAAAAAGAAAGAGACAGTGCAACAAAAGCGGTTTAATTTAAGGGCGAATTAAACCTCTCGAAAAGAAGGAACAGAAATCAAGGAGTGTTTAGTCAAAATATGAAGGCATGAAAGTGAATTCTGCACGCGCACACACACGCACAGAAAGCTTGTTCGAGCATGAAGACTGAGCACAAAGAGATAAAAAGAAAAATAAAGCATGAAGAAAAGTGTGGAAGTGTCACATTTGTCTGGGTAGTGTTTTGCCCTCTCTTTGAGCCTTTACCTCCAAGGGGCTAGCATTTAAATAAAAGGCAGTGTGTAGCTGAAGTGCCTTGGTGTTATTTTTGTGTATGTGTGTGTGACAAGACTTTTTTTTATGGATCACAGTTGTAGCGTGCTCGTAGAACAGCACATTTTAACTGTTTGTATGTTGTGAATGTCAGGTTTGCTTGATTTATCCAGATATTTGAGAGAGATAACAACAAGGAGAGAGGAAAAAAACTCATTTAAAAAGAGCCATAAATATTTTCTTCCTCTGTCAAAATCCTCCAAGCCCTCTCTAAAAACAGCCTCTGCCATCTCCCAGGAAAAAGAGCAAGGGTAAGACGAAACCAAATACTCTGCAGATGAAAGAGAGGAGAAAAAGGCAACGCATACTTTGCTCCACAGAGGCGAGAAAGCCAGTGGCTTAGGAGGAGAAAAGTAAGCAAATGAAGGGTAGAATGCACAAAATGTAAAAAAACATGGCAAGTAGGTACAACAAAATGGCAGACTGACAAGAGAATGTCCAAACATGCATCTCAATTAAGAAAAAGGAAGCAAAAGAACTCGGATGTGATGTGTTCACAGGACTGAGGGTGTTATATCTGCTGTTGAGATTCCCATTCAGCTCTTCCCGGTGTTAAACGTACCAGGAGTCGTATGGATCTGAAGTCACTGTTCCCTCTCATGGCTGCATCTCCACATACATTTGGTGATTGTGGTCACATTTTTCCAAAACACATCTAATCTAGTAGCCTACTGTTCTGCGTATTTTACCACCAGAGAATATTAGAAAAAGCACCTCCCGCTATTATTTCAGAGAGTGGCCGAAATGTGCCAAAATTGTTTCAAAAATAAATGTCTGTATCTTTTTTATTCCTCTTAAGAAAGCCTGAATGCGAAGTCACATGGCTCTATAAAACCATGTACCTAAACAGCAAAGACATCAAAAAAAAGGAAAAAAAAGAGAACTTCAGATAGAATTTTAGATGTCAAGTTTCTCTGCAAACTATGATAATTCTAACAGGTATTGAGTACATACATAAACAACACAGACTGCTGAAAAAAGAACCTCGTTTGGTCCTTTATAGAAAATGCACATTCTGGTGGACCAGGGCTTTATAAGCAGTCACAAGCTCCACAGATACAACAAGCTCTCTGCAGAGACAGTAAGGCAGTTTTATGATCACCAAGGAAACCACTCCACTTTCCATATGGCAGGTTTCTTTTTTTGGAGATAAAGTAAAAACATAATGAACAGAAAATACGTATACTAGTTAAAGAAAATAGCTGCCCTGTAAAAATCTGCTCAGCAAAAATATTTGAACTGTTTTTTTTCTTGTGGTTGTTGCTTTTTGTCGTTGGTTCGAACCGTATTCTAGATCAGCTGGCTCATGAAGCTTTCAACAGTTATTGTATCTGATCCAGCTGGATCTCAGGGTAAAAAGAGGCGACATCTCAAAAGCACTGAAGCCAGCCTGCAAAGATGCAGAATAGAGATGGAAAAAAACGAAACAAAAGAGAAAACACCAACATAAAACCCAAACTAAAGCAAACTCACAGAGTTCGACAGCTACTAAGGCAACTTTTGCCAAATACAATATAAGCCCAAGTATATTGCAACACAACTATATATTAATTTAATAAAATACACAATATAGCTTTTGTACACATAACAATTTGGCTCAAATGCACAGAAATTGCAGTAAAATCAATAAAAAATATGTCAACTTTTTTTGATGTAAACACATCTAAATTGGATACATTTACACATATAATGATATTATGTATAGTGAGAATGTGAAGGGACATTTTCTTCTTCGCTTATATTTTTGGATATTTGTCTTCGAAACAATGGCAGTGTCCTCTGTAGTTCTTTCAGTTAATACGCCGCTCTCGACCTTAACGCCAGGACACATTTCGTTTAGTTTCCTCATTTCGTCTTCTTTTTTTTTTCGTTTTCTTACAAAATGTATAAATATTTTTGTTAATATTTGGACACTATACATGGATTCATACATACAGTCATCTATATAATCATATAGATATCATCTTTTCACAGTTGAGGAAAAATGTCCCTTTTTTTTTTTTACAACTTGCCTTAAGGCAGAGCCACACACATGATAATTCACCGTACACAAGGGACTGAAAGCTGATGACGTACATGTATAGGACAATTCCACAGATGGACAGTTGTGTTTAAGCATTTGTGTCTATGTGTGCGTGTGTGTGTGTGTTTGTTTGAGTGTGGTGAGGCATCAGTGCGTGTGTCAGCGTATGTTTGCGCAAAGTGTAGTGCACGTGTGTAAACTTGTGTGCGTGCAGCTACACCGGTCAGCAACGTGAACATTTAAATAGAGGTGTGAGACAGACACAGCTTACACATGTAGCTACAGATGACAGGTGAAGCATGGTTACACTGGTAATAATTCACCTTCAGCGGGACACTGAAGCCACTCCGACCCCCGAGTTCATAACAAACCCCTGCGAACACACCCCTGATTAACCAATCTTTTCAGACACAGGATCCAAACACTTAGATTAAATTCAAAAAGGATAATGTCGGCTTGTGGATTTCGGTCTTTTGACTGCCCCAAAACGATTAGAATTTGTTTCTGCGTCCACGTCGATTGTCGCATCTGACCATAAATAGTCCTTTTTCGATCGTTTTTGATGTCCATCACACATAACAGAAATCCACCTACACACTTAAATATGTAGGATTTCACGAGACCATGAACAACACACTTATGAGCTGGTGGGCACTTAGATAATAAGCTTGCGAGGTGCTTGAGGCGAGAACCTCTGCAATTTGCTTAGGAATCCAAAACATAAGAGTTTATAAATTCAGAAGAATTCAGATGTTTGTTACCAAGTTCCTTTCTGTTGGTAGGGATCTCAGCACCGAAACTGGTGCTGAATGACTGATATATTAAATGTTCAGTGTTTTCTTACGACAAATACAGTGAAAAGAGCTCCTGTCATAAGAGCCATTTAAGCTTTTTTCAGTTTGTTTTGGTGAGAGTTTTGGTATGAGAGTTTGTGGAATAGCACCCTACTCCTCTCTCTACCGTCTTGACTTCTTTTTGCTGCAGTTCTTTGTGTCACTTCCTGAGCGTGCCAGTGGCTTCACTTCCCCTGCAGTCCTGCAATAGTTTGTCGATGTCTCTCACCACCTGGTCAGCGTCCATTCCGTCACGGCTTGCATCTGGCTCCACCTGCTCCAGGACACACTCCATTTCACCTGCTGCCTCTTGGCTGATCCTAGAGCGAGCCTCTGCGAGCACCTTGGCCACTGGGTCTGAAGGAGGCAAGGAAGGGTAGACCCCCTGTTCTCTGGTTTGTTTGGTGGGTGACAGGTACTGACCATCAGGAGGACCATAGTGACCAGAGCAGGTGGCCGGAGGTGGTTTGCCTTCGGCCCCGTCGGCGGGGCTTTTGACTGAGGAGCAAGGAGACATGGTGAAGCAGCCCTTGGTAGGACTGCTGGAGGCTGAGGGTACCTCTTGGAGCAGTGGGCTGAGAGCACGTTTCGCCTTCAAGTAGGGCTTGACGTTGGCAACCAGGACGGTGTGGTCACGTCTCTCCTTGCCAAAAGTACAGAATGTTTTCTTGCCATTGGGGTTGACAGTCTCGTAGGTCTCTGTCTCTGGCACAGTCTCCATCCCTGCTGGCACAAACATATTGTTGCGGTAGTCGATACCCTCTGCCTGGTTTCCTCCAGTGGGGAACTGGGGCATCCAGCAGCGGTCAGAATGACCGAGTACCCGGCACTCCTCTGTACAGTTCAGACAATCCTCATCTGCAGAGAGAAAAAAAGGGAGAAGGAGTGAGTGGACGGAGAAGAAAGTGATCTTTATGTCAGTAGTGAGCACAGAATTGAGTATAACCACACAGGGAGAGGGTAGCAGATTCATAGAAGTATCATGGAACTGAGCTGCACAGGAAGTTGGAGCCTTAAGTCTTAGAACTAGAGCCAGTCCTAATGAAATGATGCAAAAAAGGAAGTGCCCGATCAGGCTCCCCCTATCAAAACACACATGCACACACACTTATATTCATGAACACATGCACTTATGCACATATAGTACGTGCACATAGCTTTTCAAGGGGACTGGGGGACACCTGCTAGCAATTTCCAAAGCCCTGATCAAGGGGATGGCAAAGCATACAGAAAGGATGGGGAGGGAGCAAGAGGAAAAACAACAACAGTTGAGGTTTGGCAAAGGCATAGTGCCGTTATCATAAATTCATGTCAGTGGGCTTTGAAGCCCTCCCTAGACAGAGAGGCTGTGCCAAATGGCTTGTGCTTCTTCCCTGTGTGTTTGTGCCTGTTTATTTGTGTGCTCTTGTTGCTGGCGTGTGCACGCATGTGTGTATAAGTGTGTGTGTGTGTGTTCCCCGCTTTCATCTCTATTCAGAAGGATGCACACTCTGGCTGATTATGGGAGTGTTCATGCCTGTGTCAAACGGATCCAGAACTTGGTTTTAAAAAGAATAATAATAAAAGAAGAAGCACTTTTTTCCCCTCCTTTTGGGCATAAGTGAAAAAAAAAATGTGAAAAATGAAACAAAACAAACAACCAAAAAAAAGCATCTGTTGTCCCATACTAAATGGAATTTCTACATTGGCTGGGTGGGACGAAATCAAGAGGACACACAGAAAGACAATATCTGAACAGTTCCAAGAGCACAAATAAAATGAACACAAATAGGTCCTTGTTTCCCATCATCATGAGATGTGACCGTGAAATATACTGTAAATGTGACAGAAAAAAACATTATCACGCCATTAGTTAAAGACGCATAAACTTAAAAAGGGACAGGTTGGGGCAATCTCACAAATGTTATAACACACAGGAAAATTTAACAGCCATCTCCGGTATAATAGAAAAGGTTATTTGCACAGACGTCTAAAGAGCTCAAGCTAATTGCATATTACTTTTGAGATACACCATGCGCCTCTTTCTGTTTGTGGAACCATATATGGTAAACACCATATTTCCAATTTCTTGCAGAAATGCAACACTAAGGCAGCTGTCTCCAGGGAGAGAAGCAAGGCAGTTCTAGTCACAGGATTTTCATATCTGTTTATGTAGCCCAGTAAAAGTGAGAGCAGAACAGGTGGCAGACAGAAATAATTGAACATAGCCATCTCTCTTGCTCATTTTCATTACAGCTTGTCACCTCTTTCACCTCTCTGGCTGACTGTTAATGATTTAAACCTTGATTTCTTCATTGTTGCACACTAAGTTTGGAACCAAAGCACATTTTAAAAATCAGCGTAATTTATCTTCGTCTAACAAGCCTGTTGTGGTTTCAGCTCTTGAAACGCAAATCGGTAGGTGGAATTTAGATGAATTTGTTACCAAGGAGAGTGTTTGCTTTGGCTTTGTTTTAAAGGCAACATTAATTGCAGTTAAAATGAGGCTACTAAGTGCAGCATTCCACTATTGTTTCCAACTAAATGTGAAAAGACAACATTGCTGTTAAGAGCTGCGACGCTACCCCCATCAATTCCATTATGCAATGCATGAACCTCTGCAGCACGGTGAGAGTGCTGCTTTAGAGACCACAAACTTGGGACTAATACAATCTTTGGTTGATGCGAATGAGCAGGCAGAGTGGATGTGCTTGAGTGCACTTGGCTAGGCTGTCTTTGCTGTGTTGCGGGTCAGCAGTCTAGATTCCTAAGAGACTGCCCTCCTAAGCTGTAGAGATGAGCTTAACACTTCACAAATGTTTGAAGAAGCCAAACAGTGCTGGCAAAGAGAGCTTGACATTTCCCATGCTGAAGCAGTCATCTGAAGAAGAAATAAGGTGAGCTGGAAAGCAGAGGCCAGACCAGTACGAGACGGACTACATTTAAATAGTGTGGGGGTGAGTGCATGCGTCTGCACGCACTGAGAAATGGGAGAGTGTGTGCCTGTGTTTTGTGCAAAAAGTGATTTGGGTAAGAAAGTATAAACAACATGTCAAAGCGATTCGGTCCAAAGCTTGTGCATGAAAAACAAAAAAACAAACCTGAATGCACTTTCTAATGACAACGCGCTGTTATTGTGATCCATCACCAAGCTACAGCGTACAGGGAATACATGTAACCACGCTTGGTTAACAAACCAGTGTGTGAATTCCAGACACAAACAATTCATCTGGCCTCAGCAATGTCTCGTGATTGTCCATTCAACACGTGTAAATTAAATTATAAATAATCCATTTTGACATATTTCCCTCTGTTTAGTTGGAGGAATCCTCTGATAGATTATTCATGTCTCAGCTGCACGTTCAACCTTGAGGCGTTCTCCTCATATCTATGACTACCAATATGACATATGAGAGCAGAGGTGACATTCATCTCGCACTCCCTCTCTCTCTCCTTCTCTCACTTTCTTCACCTAGGCTTCACCAGCTCTCTGGGATGGGCAGTAGATGTCTGGATCAAGGACACATTTGCCTGTGTTGATATGGCCACCAGGGGCATGCTCAGCAGGTTCTCTCTTGCGATTATGTGGTCCAATATAAGCTACACCGATTGACTGAAAATCTGCTCATCTGAACTGATACGGCAGTATAAATATTTCCTATTTATATTAGCCAATCATCAAGGAAGCACATTACCTGAATTATATCTCCACCGCTTTATACCTGCACTCGTTTGGCATCTTCAATTTGAAGTCGGTATTCTAGATATTTGTTGTAAAATCAAAACCTTGAGATGAAAATGAAGATATTAATATATATTTACACCATGCACAGAGATTTTTTTTTTATCTTTCTTTGTTCACTCATTTACAAAACTGGCCTAAACACCAGGCACTGACATTATAAAGAGATATATATTTTTAGACTTCATCTTACATTCAAGTCTCAAAAAGGCCAGTACAGTGTCTGTGAAATAAATGGGAACCCATGAAAGGCAGGAGGGTGATCCACTCATATTTAGCAAAAAATGTGCGATTGATGACTAGAACATCTTATCGTTAGAAAGAAGAGGTAAGATTCAGCTGCAGCTTCAAGGGAAAGTGGGACTGTAACACTTATCAAAATTCCAAGTCAAAGTCAGGCAGGGTTGATTTTTGTATCTTTGTAGCCATATTGTAGACTCTTGACCTGAATCCTTTATTGAAATCAGATATGTATTATACCTCTATTGCCAGCAAAAAGGTTTAATTCCACACACACCTTTTTTTTTTTAAACTTGTGAATACTTTCTTAAAGAGAAACAGAGCTGCTACGTTTAGCAGGGTTAATTGCCTTACTTACGGGCAAAATTTCAAGAATGCGCGACAGTGACTTTGATAGGACATCTCTGTAGCTGCCAGTTATCTTCAATGCTAAAAGCACATTAAAATGGATATAAAAGTCAGAAAGCTGCTCTAAGAAATATTTCAGCAATAGCAAAAGGACACAATGTGTCAAAAGAAAGCAAATAAGTACATGATTCGTGTTCACTGTTTTATTTGTCAACATCAGTTTTGTGAGATGAGCCAGAATAAGATAATAAGTTTGGTGAAAAGAAAAAACAAAAACGCTGAATGAAGGAACTTTATTGTCTTTAAAATGACCTAATGATCAGTAGTAACACCATGTAACCCACAACATCATTAAGGCTACGTTCACACTGCAGGCAAAAGTGCATCAAATCCGATTTTTTTGACCCTATGTGACCCATATCCGATCATGGTATGACAGTGTGAACGGCACAAATCCGATATTTTCAAATCCGATCTGGGTCACTTTCGTATGTGGTACTGAATCCGATACATATCCGATGTTTTAGAAAGCGACTGCTGTTTGAACGGTCATGTCGCATTAAATCCGTCTTCTATGTCACCGACACAAGACAGACGCCAATTATCAGCTCCGGAGAAGACATCGAAACTGACAGTGAAACTGTTGGGAAGAAATCGTTGGAGAAATGTGAACATTTTATTTGTACTGTATAATCTGCAGATTCTGACAGAAATCTGCAACTATCCTTTGAAGCACAGCTCCTCTCTAAAACGAGCAGACAAAAAAATCGGATTTGATCAAAAAATCGGAATTGAGCAATAAGGCTACGTTGAAGCATTAAGAGTTGCTTTCATTGGAACTAAGGCTACGTTCACACTGCAGGTCTTAATGCTCAATTCTGATTTTTTGATCAAATCCGATTTTTTTGTCTGCTCGTTCACACTACAAATAAAATGCGACAGCAAACGCGCTCTAGTGTGAACGCTCAAAGCGGCCCGCATGCGCAAAAGAAGACGTCACACACAACGCGCTCTGTTTAGACCCAGAGCAAACAGTATTGTTTGACTGATGGCCCTTAATATAAAGACTTCGGACTTTACGTTTCCCAATTTTTGCTTTAAGTTATTTTGTTATTTACATAATAATGTAAATAACCTAATAATTATCCTTATTGCTGTTTTAGAGAGGAGCGGTGCTTCAAAGGATAGTTGCAGATTTCTGTCAGAATCTGCAGATTATACAGTACAAATAAAATGTTCACATTTCTCCAACGATTTCTTCCCAACAGTTTCACTGTCAGTTTCGATGTCTTCTCCGGAGCTGATAATTGGCGTCTGTCTTGTGTCGGTGACATAGAAGACGGATTTAATGCGACATGACCGTTCAAACAGCAGTCGCTTTCTAAAACATCGGATATGTATCGGATTCAGTACCACATACGAAAGTGACCCAGATCGGATTTGAAAATATCGGATTTGTGCCGTTCACACTGTCATACCATGATCGGATATGGGTCGCATAGGGTAAAAAAAAATCTGATTTGATGCGCTTTCGCCTGCAGTGTGAACG